GAATATTGTTTCAAATTTTTTTTTTTTCGTTGGAAAATATTAATATTTTGGTTTGATTTTTTTACCTCAGTATGTCTTATTGGATTTAAATTTCATTTGCATCTATGCTTTTATAGATTAAAAAAGGGTAGTGAAAGTAGAAATGTTTCAGAAGTATTATATATTGTTTATCTGTTTTTGCAGACATTTTACAATCACTGTTTGGTTATAATATCATGATGGAGAAATATTTCAAATTTCAAATTCAGGCTGTTAACATAGTTATCATGATACAGGCGTATTTATAATATCTTAAAACCAGGTACAGAAAACAAAAACACAGATTCTAAAATTTGTAATGTTGCATAGTGACATGCAGACATGAATGTAGTAACAGTTATGTGCATATGCTAGCGAAATTGTACAGGTAATATGTAGACATGTCTTGTAGAGCACTATTTATGGGCATGAAATTGATGTACACAAATGTGTATATATACAAACTGACACTGCAGATTTAGTATTCAAAATGAAATTTTTGGGGAAAAAAATTGTTTTTCATTTCAGTTACAACTGTTTGTAAATGCAGTTTAAATATAAAGACACTTGATGTCTTGACTGGTTGGCCTGTTCTGTGGATTTGGATATACCAGTTTAAGGAGATAATATGAGCATACATTCCGTTTGAATGTGTATTGTGACAAGTTGAGTGGTAAAAAGGTTTGTATTTGAAAGAGGAATTGGCATGTAGTCATATAGGGTTTGCCAATCAGCAGACTACTTGGTACAATTAAAGCCAGTGTTTGCCGTTTTCACCTGGTTGTTAGTCTCTGCGGGGGATAAGTAAGGATATTATATGCAAGTGACGTGGATCTTTGTTTATATTTTGACTTAGTCGTGTATTAGGGTCATCGGGAGATCAGGACAAACAGTAGTCTTTGGGTTATAATGATCGTCTACCTGGAATACAAAGAAACAACATTTGAAGTCCTTTCCTACTCGTTATTTTAATCTCCGGTAAATTCTTCGAAGGCACGCTCTGTTCTCACTTGTACCTGATCATAGATTGGCACAAACACATCGGCAGGTGAACTTTTTTGCCGAAGAAATTTTATGAAAAGAGTTTGATGACAGATGGTCAGCTCATGCCGTCGAGGGCTATAATTAAATAGTTAGGGTTAGTGATGTGAGTTTAGTGTTACCTGTGAAGCAGTGACAAGTAGGGGTGCCAGGGTATTGTGTTACCTGCAGATAATGCTTTTCTCGTTAGTGGACGAGACCTGTTTGGTATACCTGCATCCACAGGTGACACAATGTCGGACAGTGCACCTTTGATGGTAGAAGAATATAAAACAGGATAGCCTTTTGTGGGTGTTGACCATTTACTGGACACTAGACTAACCCTGTGCCTGGCAGACACTGGACTTGGATGTGGCAAAGTATAGACTTTTTCCTATGGTAGAATACCTGTGAAAATCACATGAAATGGATGAAGACCTCAGAATGATACATCGGAGATAATATCAGGGGATCTAATATCGTACCTGTATAAGGGAGAGAAAATATAATACCAGTTTTATAACTGACGTTAAAAAAAACTTGAACAACTTGAAAGATGGAACACAATTTTCCCATCGGCTCTCTTTACAATTGTTTTTATGCCTGTGTAGATGGAATAGATACCATTGTGTTATAGCTACAGATATGACAAAAGATGACGGAGGGCAGCTGATGACTACAGAATACAATTGTTTTCATGTGAATAGTAACTGTAACAGTGTCATAATAAGACAGTTTAGAATTAACAATGTTACGATTAGCTAGACATTGTAATAGTGATAGATAATGTGTGAGAGCCGACAAAGGGATTGGAGACAACACGTAGAGGGATCTATCAGATATAGAATGCTATGGTATAGACAGGGCGGTTGTTTTGTCTCTGTTTACCTGGCCTTGTATACACTATACTAAATATATATATATATATACGTTCTGGCACTAGCTGAATGACACGACCACTTAATCAGCTGATAGGTAAAATATTCAATATAGTATCATGCTGACACGCTGATCCCAGCAGCAAAGGACACTGATTTTGTACTTTTGTAGGTACACACTGGGATTTAATGGACAGTATTATATACTATAGGCTTTCTGTGGTACTCCACTTGTCCATACAAAGTTCCAAACGTGTCAAGATTGAATTTCATGGATTTTGTGTATATGGATATTCTTATCGAGTACTTCACTTAACTCCAAGTGTCAGATTTCATTGAAATAAGTAAATTAGTATATTGGAATTAAGCAGCGTGTGTGTTGTGGATGTATATAGTGACCAGTACCAGTCTGGTCTATTTGATGTTGTCTAGCTGCGGTCAGTATTTCGGAACTGTACACCTAACAACTATAAGGAAGAATTAAGTAATTCGTGGGAGTAAATTGACATCGTATGGCAGAGCATAGAGGAAGTGTTTGAAATGTTGGTGTCAAATTTACAATGGATTATATGTGTTTGATACCTTGTCCATGTGACGTAACTGTATAGATGTAACTAACAGCGTGGAACAATCCCGCAGTCATGTATGTTTATGTGGTCGGGAACTCTGAACAGAGTGTGGCTCTGAAGTGTGGGCCATGCGTGTCCTCAGACATGTGTGTATCTGAGGATGCAGTGGGGAATGGGACAGGGGAGTCCCTCAAGGAGTCCCACATGGAGTCCCACATGGAGAGAAACAAACGGGAGATGGAAGATGTTCTAGCTGGGAGGGAGGCTGGGGATAGGGATGAGGCAGACAGTGCTATACACTCTCAGTGTGATGAAATTGAATGTGACGGGTCATTTTCTTCAATAACAAGTCACAGTTGCAGGTGAGGGTATTCATCACACTAAGTGTAACATGACTCAGACTAAAGTGTCAATGTTTAAGGAAGAACAGACCTCTTCTATAGTCATAATGAATGTTTGTGAGCTGATGAACGTGGAATTGTAACATACTGCCGAAGTTTGTCTTTGACAAGGTCAATTATATGGTGCTGCCTTCTTCAGGTGGAGGTTTCATTAAATCAAATGAACATAGTGCAGCCCTCTTAAGGTCTTGATTGTATGTTGCAGCCTTCTTTATGTCCCATTTGTATGGTGCAATCTTCTTTATGTCCAAGTTGTATGTTGCTGCCTTCTTTGAGTTCCAGTAATGTATGTTGAAGCCATCATTAGGTCCCAGTAATGCATGGTGTAGCCATCATTAGGTCCCAGTAATGTATGGTGTAGCCATCATTAGGTCCCAGTAATGTATGGTGTAGCCATCATTAGGTCCCAGTAATGTATGGTGTAGCCATCATTAGGTCCCAGTAATGTATGGTGTAGCCATCATTAGGTCCTAGTAATGTATTGTGAAGCCATCATTAGGTCCCAGTAATGTATGGTGAAGCCTTGATTAGGTCCAGTAATGTATGGTGAAGCCTTCATTAGGTCCCAGTAATGTATGGTGAAGCCATCATTAGGTCCCAGTAATGTATGGTGAAGCCATCATTAGGTCCCAGTAATGTATGGTGAAGCCATCATTAGGTCCCAGTAATGTATGATACTAAGTCTTCATTATATTCCAGTAATGTATGGTGTATCATTTTGTGAGGTGTTTTGAAGTAATTTTTTTAAAAATCACATGAGACAAATAGATATCACTCAATCATGTCTTGTATATTTAACATAGATAAAAGCCAGCAATGTTGAAAGGTCAAGAGGGGAAAAAGGACCAGTTCAAACTTACCGTATCTATTATTCAGTTTGGGTTAAAGGTCGAGTGTAATCAGCACTAGAGTCGTTGTAGAGCCAGGGATCAAGGCATTACATGGATCAATGTCATTTACGTGACTTCTTAAGCAATAAGGTGACTTCATAGATTATCCTGCCTGTGTATAACTTGTGGCCAGGTTTATCTGCACAAAGGTTCACTTTCAGCTTTACCTGTATTAGTTCCTGTGATACCACAGGTAGACACTGATAAAGTTTGCACTTATATCAATTGTTAAGGAATGTGATTGATATCAATGGGTCAACTCTATCCCCACACCAGGGCAGTGTGTTTAGACTACATTTGTCCTCACCCCAGGGCAGTGTGTTTAGACTGCAATAGTCCCCCACTACAGGGCAATGTGTTAAGACTACATTAGTCCTCACCCCAGGGCAGTGTGTTTAGACTGCAATAGTCCCCCACCACAGGGCAATGTGTGAAGACTACATTTGTCCTCACCCCAGGGCAATGTGTGAAGACTACATTTGTCCCCACCCCAGGGCAATGTGTTAAGTCTACATTTGTCCCCACCCCAGGGCAATGTGTTAAGACTACATTTGTCCCCACCCCAGGGTAATGTGTGAAGACTACTATAGAGCTTTAACCCATCAACCCATGGCGATGAACTTTAGTAGCGTTGCAGGAGGTCCTAGTAGTCCTGTACAGCCATTGTCAATCTTCTGCAATCTTTATTCAAAACAGAATCAAGGATGTTTCTTATTAAAATTAATAATTTCGTCTTTCCTGTACTTGAGCTGGCTCTATATTAATCCCTTTGTACTGCACTTAGTGCTCCAGGACCTTGTGTGTTCAATATGTCCCCACCCATGATGACCCTGAATGTACCAGTGTCTTTCTATCCTCTTTGTCATCTTACATCGCAAAAAACTAATTTGTGTGACAGATCAGATCTTTAAATTTTAAGAATATTACAAACACAATTGAGGAAGTGGCGTCAGACAGACATCACAGTTGCAGTTTTGTGCCTCAATATAAAAAATAAAGTTTAATTTGAAATGTTTTTCCTTGAATATAATTTGAAGTTTTTTCATTCATTTATTCGTTATTTTATCTCGCGAAGCATTTTTTTTCTGTAACTATGACACAATATTTCCAATTATTGACCATCTCTCTGATTACATGTTATCAATGCCTAGTAACATGTAACAATGTATTCAGTGTTTCAGCCATTGTGTACTAACCTGATATATGCTTGTTTTGTATTTGCAGTTTTGGTAAACGGACGCCAGGATGTACCCGCCGGACAAGCGAGTGCCTCATTCTGGAGCCTTCAGAGATGATAGTGGTAGGAGTGCTTTCTTTACAAACTAAATAGAATAGAAGTTTCTGACTTAAAATTTTCACCACAAATGAGCTTTGGTTACATTTTCATCATACAACTCATTACCTTTTCTTCATGAGACGCATATGAAGAAATTTTCTAGTTTCAGTTCTATCATTTGTCACACTGGCAGCTCGTGACATGGAGATTGAGATCGTTCTTTCCATCATCACAGCTGTTTTAATCAGTTTTCTGTTCTTCCTGTGTTGAAAAGCCTTGTTAGCTTTATGGAATTTCGTCACAGAAAATTGCAAACATTTATGATTTCAAGCTTCATCAAACGGCATAAACTAAAATCTTAAAATACCTTATTTAAACTGCTTCTTCTGATAGACTGACAGGGTTTTTGAAATTATGAAAAAAATTGAGACATTCACAGAATTGATGTGTTAAAGAAATAAAAAGTCTTGATGAATGACCAGTATAGTTCATATAGATATAAAGGTCAGAATGTTAAAACATTTAAGAGATCATGAGATTAAAAATCTGTTCATCATAATTCAAAAACCAAATAAATCAAAATCGGAGATGAAGAAAAATGAAAAAAAAAAAAAAAAATGAAAAAAATAAAAATCTAATGAATGATGATAAAAAAAGGTTTGTGTAATTATCAAACATGGAAATAATCAGTTTTCCCTCTTCTGAAGAGAACTGGGCAAAAAGCAAAATGGATTTGAATATAAATGAGTCCGGCAATTTAAATCTAAGGGAAACAGTTTGGTTGAATCTGTGTCCCATTTGCTGAAATTAGATTTGTTCTACAGTTTGTGGAAAATGCTTTTGAGTACATGTTGTTTACTCTGTGGTAAATAGATGAAGAAATGAAAAGTAATTTGAAAATCATCAGTAAAGTATTTAGATGTATAGAAATAACATTCAACAGAAGATATAGTGTGTAGTTATACTGTGTCATCATCTGTGTTTTTATATGATTGGTGGTGTTGTATGGTGTGAGAAAAAAATGATTCAGAAAGATGAGCCCTCTTGATACTGATGTTGACTGACGTCAGAAGGGGATAGGATCATGTATCATCTAAACAAAGGCTTTTTATTCCTGTCATCAAAGGGTTTTATAGGAACACGCACCACCTAAAAAATCCTTGATAAAAAAGAGGATTATAGGAACACGCAAACTTCTGTACGCCCTGAAATCCTTAATAAAAAGGTTTTTTAGGAACACGCAAATATCTGTAATAAAAAGGTTTTTTTTTATAGGAACAGGCAAACATCTGTACGCCTAAAAAATCCTTACCACACAAACTTTTGTACCTTACTAAAAAGGGTTTTATAAAAACATGCAAACTTTTGTATGCCTAGAAATCCTTTATAATAAAGGGTTTTATAGGAACAGGCAAACTTCTGTACGCCTAAAAAATCCTTACTAAAAAGGGTTTTATAGGAACACACAAACTTCTGTACGCCTAAAAAATCTTTACTAAAAAGGGTTTTATAGGAACAGGCAAACTTCTGTACGCCTAAAAAATCCTTACTAAAAAGGGTTTTATAGGAACACACAAACTTTTGTACGCCTAAAAAATCCTTACTAAAAAGGGTTTTATAAAAACATGCAAACTTTTGTATGCCTAGAAATCCTCAATAAAAAGGGCATTTATAGGAACACCAAAACTTCTGTGCCCTTAGAAATCCTCTATAAAAAGGGTTTTATAGGATCACCCAAACTTTTGTATGCCTAGAAATCCTTTATAATAAAGAGTGTTATAGGAACAGGCAATCTTCTGTATACCTTGAAATCCTTAATAAAAAGGATATTATAGGAACACCCAAACTTTTGTATGCCTAAATATCCTCCAAAAACGGGACGCTGTAGGAAAATTAAAATTCAAAAAGAAAAAAATATTATACAGGTTTTGTTGGAAGTTAGAGGATATACTTAAAGATATGATTGATAAGTTTTTGTTTTTGTATCAGCTGTCATATTGTATGTATATATAAACAGGTTGTATTTAATTTGGTGTGGGTTGTCATTAGGTGGGGAAGGCACCTACCAATATTGATCAATACACCAGACAAAGTAAATCAATATTATCTACGTTATATACCTATAGTATGTATCCCTGTACAGTCTTTCACTGTGGGCCTCAGTGTTGAGTCATCTCAATTTCACCTTTAAAAAAACTTTCATTGTGGGTGTTTTATATAACAAAGTTGAGCTGCTATGTTATTTTAAGATAAAAATATCTTAATAATTTTTGAGCTTCAGATAAATTGTTCGGATTTTATCTGTTTTCTACATGGGCGATGAAATTCCTCAGCAGCTTTCGTTTATTTACGTTGTAAACACTTCACTGGTTTTAAATACATAGGTGAAGATCTATAGGTATGTACACCCGCCTTTGTGTCTTATGTAATTCATATAAAGAGAACACAATACTTGGTCACTGGTCATTGGATTAAGATCTCCTGTATAAAATCCAGGACCTACAGGCCTTTCACTGTATTGTGCAAAACTTTCAGCCTTTCCAGTCGTCTGTCTTGGTATATGTTGTTGTGTATTGCGACAGTTAATGCCTCAATGAAATGAACCGAAAGGATGTTTTCGTATTAGATGAAATTGCGGTTAGATAGAGGTAGAAGAATTTTAATAGGTTTGGGAAAAGTGATAATCACCAGTATTGTGACCCGCATAATAAAAAATGTTTGGATACTTAGAAGGAAATGGAGAATAAGTGATGCATTTTATCAGTTTGGGAATCCATGCAGGCTCATACCATTTGTAATGAAAGTGTGATTGAGTAATTTGTGTTAAAAAGAATTTTATTATGAAGGAAAACAACATTGAAGTCACATTACTGGTGTGTTAATCAATACTTTATTACTTAAGTGAGACTTTAATTCAACTTAAAAAACTAATTCTTTCAGAAAATTTGTGAGAATTTGTTTCTTTTTTTTTTATTTGAGTTGTCTTCAGAATATGCTTTAAAGTCATGTAAGCGTTGTTGTTTCCTAGAGGATGAATTATCTTATTTCATCTAGAGCAAATAATGTGTAGTATAATTTCCCTTTTATGTTAGCAATAGCTAAGGATTAATAGTAAAGGTAAGAAGTTTTCTGCATTGATTTGTAAGAAGTAGCAAGAAACAGCAAGAATTTCTCTGTAAGAAACAGTAAGATTTAACTCTTTGTAAGAAATACTAGGATTTAACTCTTTGTAAGAAAAAGTAAGAATTACTCTGTAAGAATTATTTAGATTTACTCAGTAGTAAGAATTTCTCTGTAAGAGATTAGTAAGAATGACTCAGTAAGAGATTAGTAAGAATTTCTCTGAGAGATTAGTAAGAATGACTCAGTAAGAGATTAGTAAGAATGACTCAGTAAGAGATTAGTAAGAATGACTCAGTAAGAGATTAGTAAGAATGACTCAGTAAGAGATTAGTAAGAATTTCTCTGTAAGAGATTAGTAAGAATGACTCAGTAAGAGATTAGTAAGAATTAGTAAGAATGACTCAGTAAGAGATTAGTAAGAATTACTCAGTAAGAGATTAGTAAGAATTTCTCAGTAAGAGATTAGTAAGAATGACTCAGTAATAGATTAGTAAGAATGACTCAGTAAGAGATTAGTAAGAATGACTCAGTAAGAGATTAGTAAGAATGACTCAGTAAGAGATTAGTAAGAATTTCTCTGAAGAGATTAGTAAGAATGACTCAGTAAGAGATTAGTAAGAATGACTCAGTAAGAGATTAGTAAGAATGACTCAGTAAGAGATTAGTAAGAATGACTCAGTAAGAGATTAGTAAGAATGACTCAGAAAGAGATTAGTAAGAATTTCTCTGTAAGAGATTAGTAAGAATGACTCAGTAAGAGATTAGTAAGAATTTCTCTGAGAGAGATTAGAGATTAGTAAGAATTTCTCAGTAAGAGATTAGTAAGAATGACTCAGTAAGAGATTAGTAAGAATGACTCAGTAAGAGATTAGTAAGAATGACTCAGTAAGAGATTAGATTCAGTAAGAGATTTAAGAATCTCAGTAAGAGATTAGTAAGAATGACTCAGTAAGAGATTAGTAAGAATGACTCAGTAAGAGATTAGTAAGAATTTCTCTGTAAGAGATTTGTAAGAATGACTCTGTAAGAGATTAGTAAGAATTTCTCTGTAAGAGATTAGTAAGAATGACTCAGTAAGAGATTAGTAAGAATTTCTCTGTAAGAGATTAGTAAGAATGACTCAGTAAGAGATTAGTAATAATTACACAGTAAGAGATTAGTAAGAATGACTCAGAAAGAGATTAGTAAGAATTTATCTGTAAGAGATTAGTAAGAATGACTCAGTAAGAGATTAGTAAGAATTTCTCTGTAAGAGATTAGTAAGAATGACTCAGTAAGAGATTAGTAAGAATGACTCAGTAAGAGATTAGTAAGAATGACTCAGTAAGAGATTAGTAAGAATGACTCAGTAAGAGATTAGTAAGAATGACTCAGTAAGAGATTAGTAAGAATTCAGTAAGAGATTAGTAAGAATTTCTCTGTAAGAGATCTGTAAGAGATTAGTAAGAATGACTCAGTAAGAGATTAGTAAGAATTTCTCTCAGTAAGAGATTAGTAAGAATGACTCAGTAAGAGATTAGTAAGAATGACTCAGTAAGAGATTAGTAAGAATGACTCAGTAAGAGATTAGTAAGAATTTCTCTGAAGAGATTAGTAAGAATGACTCAGTAAGAGATTAGTAAGAATGACTCAGTAAGAGATTAGTAAGAATGGCTCAGAAAGAGATTAGTAAGAATTTCTCTGTAAGAGATTAGTAAGAATGACTCAGTAAGAGATTAGTAAGAATTTCTCTGAGAGAGAGATTAGTAAGAATGACTCAGTAAGAGATTAGTAATAAGAATGACTCAGTAAGAGATTAGTAAGAATTTCTCTGTAAGAGATTAGTAAGAATGACTCAGTAAGAGATTAGTAAGAATGACTCAGTAAGAGATTAGTAAGAATGACTCAGTAAGAGATTAGTA